CGTGCTTATAGTTCAATCTAATTAGTAACAGAATATACCTTGAACGTATCATTGATTTTAAAGACAGTTTATTGATCAATAGTCATTATTCATTATTCACTGACTGAGTTTTCGGTTAGTGAGTTACTCAATGCTGTAGGCGTTTAGAGGTTTGGTAGTTTGGTTAGTTGTGCCAATAAGTAAATAGATCAATTTATAACCAATAATCAACTTTAAATTTTAAAATTGAATCATATTTACGGCTCTGAAAGGTGATTACTGATACAATTTTTTTTTTAATACCTATTACTGTAAAATCAACACATTCATTGCTTCGTTCAGAATTTAAAAAATCGAAGAAAAATGTAATTAAATCAGTATCATGTAGGAACAAATGATAMAATCATTCAACGGAATTACAATTTACAATAAACGATAAAAATGTTTAGAAAATATAAATGGATGAATTACATAATAAAACATTTCAGCAAGTGACAATAAGCTACGCGTTTTAACATAATTTAGTTGGAACCTATAAATAATCATACATTATGATTTATGAATTTTAATTTTAAATCTTATTATATTTGATACTCTATTTTAAATTATAAATTATTTTTTAAATTAAATTWAATTAAATATATGACATCACTGTTAACAAAAAAAAATTCACAAAGGTAATATCGTATTTTTTTCTASTCTACTCGTATGTATATTTCGTTTGATCTTATTGTTTCAATTTTAAATCTGAAGATGAGATAAATTACCCGAACTTATGTAAATGAAATGGATAATTTTTTAAGCACCTTGATCAAAACTGTTGTAGTATGGTATACATAGTGGCTAAAATAAAATCCCATGTAGATCTCACGAGTTATATAAAATACAAATTTACTGATATTGTTAATTCTTTAGCCATATCAACCGAGAGTTGTATTGTACGTCATCAAAAAACCCCCAATATGAACAATCTATATAGTMTTTATTAAAGTTTGTTATCGATGGTAGTATAAATTTTAATTTATATTTTTGTCATTTGTCATGAGCGATATACGCTTTTCTGCTACCTTATATACGCAATGTAGTATTTAATGTTGAAGGGGAGGTGGCAAATACTTCAGGTGCTAAATTTAGAGACTGGAAAAATTAATCATCTGCCTAGTGACCAAAACACATGCGTGGTGATTGTGATTATGTAAAAAATTTTTTGGTGAGGCTGCAACTTATATTGATTTTGAGTGTACCTTGTTAATTGTAATTGTGTTAATCACTTTTGTGTTTGTGTTTAATTCAAATAAAATTATAAACCATTATATCCCTACAAAAATGATAAAACGATTCTGAGCGGAGATAGCATTGGCCAGCCTTTAATTATTTTCATCATTCAATTTATTAAACACCTATGTTCATATTTTTATTAAAAATGTATTTTTCTACTATTAATATAATATGCTGATATGATAGGTTGAATTTGAATAATTTTTGACAAAATGTCCTAGTAAAATGGTGTACCTAGTATCTACAACTGCTACAAATTTGAAAATAAAACTAAAAAAAATTCAACTTTACTTATCAAAAGTATWATTGTGATACTATTACCGCACTAGAGTAGTAGAGTACGAACAGTGATTTTACTGTTGTAAAACGCTTAGGCCGAAAACCACGATGATTTTACATAATCAACATAATTCTATATAATCAACATATAGTTTACCTAACCTTGTTAAGTAGAATTTAAAACTAGGAACTCGAATATTTTAGAAACATATGGTGAAATTTGATGAAAAATTAAAAAGTAACAATGAATCTAAGTAAATAGTATATAATAATATTGACTATATGATTCGGTACCAATTAAAATGTCATATTCACTTATAATTTGTTAGGTAAGTACCTAAAGTAAAATAGTGTATATAGTATATATAAATAATTTATTAGAAAACAAATAAAAAAGGTGCTTCAGCATTTTATCATTTTATCATTTTAGTTTTTTTTTTTTGTAAGGAGAAGTTTCTGATACATAAACGCGAACATTATTTGAGGGTGTTAATTTTAAAATTGGGGGTACTAATACAGTAATACCCCCTATAAACCCCCTCCTATTGCGCTTATGCCTAACAATAATTTATATATAATGAGACAATAAATGAAATGGGAATAGGTACGGCTAGTAATGCATAGTTTGTTTATTAGAAAACGTATTTAATTATTTTCACGGTGTTCATGCAGCTTGCATTAGATTTGAAAGTTATAAAATATTCATGATTTTTGATTAGTTATACTTTATAGATGTTTACTTCAATAATTATTTTTACAATAGAAATATTTTCTATAAAATATGATTGAATTTAAATTGCTGATAAACGGGCAATAACATTAATTTATATAACCAACGTCTAACTACATCAACGAGGGCCTTTTATTTTTTTCCCCTATTTGAACTGACAACGTGGTGGGGATCTACTATTTTTCTAATACTTGCATCACTACACCGTAATTGTTTATTAAATAATGATAAATTATAAATTATAACAAACATACATGGACTCGCAAGCGAACATGAGACATATGACACTTTAAATGACGCTTGCAGGGAGGGACTGCTACGCTGTTACAATTGAGAACCGTATACCAGCTAATAGTTATAAAATAAACATTACCTACCTAATAAAAACAAGGTAGTTTTTTTTGTGAAAATTATTTTTGATAGGAATTAGATAAACCATAAATGTATTTATTAATTATAAATAAATATTATAACATGATAATTGATATCTACATAATATTATATAGTAGCTAGGTATTTATAGTTAATACTATTAACTATTTGATTAAATTATAACCAACTTATTAAAATTAATTCAGCTCCATTTTGTGGATAAAATTAATATTTCTGATGCAAGTATTATTATTTTTTTTTTTGATTTTAAGATTTAAGATGAAACATTTTATGGTCCAGTAGTACCGTATATAAAACTTGTCTAGTCGATTTAGATTAAGCTATGTATATTATTTGTTTTTATCTATAATAGTTAATTTTATATTATATTGCTTTACAGTATTTAAGAGAACGATTCAAAATAGATGTACCACATCGCTTCAAAGGATATAACTTCATGTCACCAACATTTTGTGATCACTGTGGTTCACTTTTGTACGGGTTGTTCAAACAAGGTCTCAAATGCGAAGGTATGACTTATTTATATTGATACACCTAAACACAGTACATACGTTATTATGAGTAAAACACACGATTAAAACATATGTTTGTTTTAATGTAACATTTAATATTCATCTGGTGGCTAGCTCGATTCATGGGAAAGATGTCGCTGTAGGTATGAAATATTTTTGTGGCAAATATCCAATCGAAAACGAAGTTCATTTGAATTTATTTTACTTAATATTATGCATTATTACAATTATTATGTCAAAGGCATTTATGTTTATTGTTTCGAAATAAATCAATGGATAAGGAAATATTGAAATAATTTACGACATGGTTCAATGTGTTTCCTATGTAAATAAACGCCACAAGAATTAGTATTATTGTTGTTGATTATCACTCGAAATTTAATTGCGAAAACAGTCCGCGTTCCGATGTGCCAAGAAAATGTTTTTATAATCAATCCGGACTAAGTCATTTTTAGCTTGACGTTTCGCCAAAACTTAATTTTTTCAAAAGCTATTCTGTACTTTATACTATGTCGATTAAAGATTATATATAATAATGATGATTTCAAACAAAAAATACAATCGTTTTTTAATCACCATCTTCTGACATATTTTACACTGGGATGTTATTACTATTATGTTTATTGGAAGATACCCAATCTGTCAATTCACCATAGCATAAATCTGACTACATTACGCTATTTTTTTTTCAAGTCTATATGGTATTTGGCATAAACTAACATTCCTTATCGCCAAATTTCAAAGTTCACGTTGTTTAGGTAAACGAATTCAAAAGTATTTTGTTTGTAATGGACAAAACCGTATTGTACACTTAATAATAATAACATGTTCCTGGTAAAATTTTTCGGATTAGTTTATTATATTTATGTATAAGTAAATACTTATAAGTATAATATTTAGTATTTTAATGAAGGTATACCGTCAACTGCTTCATGGAACTTTAATATTTAAAAATATAAATTAAAATGTTCATTGTAGATAATCAAAAACTGAACTTAAATGAGTTATTGAAATTTAAGCGCACTATCATGTGCACTACGTAGTTGTACCATAGTTTATCGCAGTTGCCAAATTTAATCTATCAAAAATGTCATATGTATTAATAAGTATCCATTTTATTATGTTTGGTCYGCTTTTTAGACAATCTGGTGTTTTCAGGTTGGCGCTTTGGCAAAAAATGTTACACTTAAATCTTGTAATAATGCTTGGCCATGATGATAATTTTTTTTCATAGTACTATTGATTTTTGACCTTGATATAGTTTACAACGTGGGTGTAAAGTTTCGAGTAATTTACATTGCAATTGGGTACTTCTAATGATCCTTTTTTAAGTATGATGTGAACACATAAAGTTTGGTGTTCTAAAAAGTTAAATTTCTATGTCTACACATAAGTTGACCTTGATGTAAACTAGGTGAGACTAACTATTTTTGCACGGTGCAATGTTTCATCAATTTTTTTCAAATAGTCTTTAAGCCGTTGACGTGTGATGACTGCTGAGTGACGAGGTTTAATTTTAAATTTCTTAGTGATAGTAATATTGTTGTTGCCCATGAATAAGTTTTAAAATTATTTAAACAAATTGAAAATTGTGAAAAAAAAATTACAACATCCATAAACGGAATAACTGAAAAAATCATCGAAAAACCTTTACACCAATTTTGGGAAAAAAACAGAATGCGTGAAAYTTGAAGATGAGTACCTACCTAAGGTTTATTGAAACTAATTTTTGTCATTTCAGAAATGTGTTTGTGTGTAAGCATTTCGTGTTTTAAATTTCTTTTGGCAGCCGTCCAAGCCGTTTAATTCGCTTTCGGAGCTTGCCAAACGTGCCAAGACATCAGCTCAGCCGTACGTTTGGTCGGGAAGCGCCTGTAGTCTTCAGCGCGCATTAATGTCGCATCAGTATCGTGTTCAAAATGTGCTTGTTATTATTTTTGAAAATCATCAAAGCCCGTAACTAAYTCGGTCAGTACAAAACCCATATGCCGACTAATCGTAATAATGCATTTTTGATTAGAACTTAGCGTACATACTAATTATTTGCACAATTTGCACGATGCCGTTTTTTTCCGACTACGGCAATTACATGCACGGGTCGACTCCGTTCTCTTCGCAATATTACAGTCAGCTGCTGCCCTACCCTGGGTCCAATCCCGGTGGCCGGTCTGCATTCCGCGCGCATGCGGTCCGTAGTAACTACAACTCGATGGCGGTCGAACAGACACTGAGGGCCATACGCAGAGGCCCGGGCGCGTTGGCCGCCCGACACTACGCCCGACCGGTGCACGTAAACACATCGGAGATCGACGTTACGTCGCCCCGGCGGCCGCGGCCGACGGCCACGACTGAAACGGCTGTGGACAATAACGTCGGCGGCGGCGGCGGCGGCGGTGGCGGCAGCGTCATACACCGTGGCCGCACCGTGGTCCGGTTGCACACGAACAAAAACAATAACAACAATAAGAGGTCAGTTAAACCGCCCGAGAACCAGACGGCGCCGGCGGTCACCGTGACCGCGAGTTCGGCGCTGCAGTACGAGGAAGGGCTGGCGAAAAAGGGCACCATAAAGCGACACACGTCCGCGGGCGTCAAGGTGCCGGTGAACGATGACCGCCGACCGTCCGTCACCGATGAGATATTGCGCGAGCAGGAGGCGCTGTTCGACACAATGATCATGGAGGAGATGGAAGGGCAGGAGAAGAGGGTGCGGCGCAAGAGTTATCCAGTGGACATGGGTGGTGGTGGTGGTAGTGATGGTGGTGCAGGTGGTGTTGGGGGTGGTAAACAACCGCACAGGACCAGGGAAACGAGAAAAAAATCGGTGGCCGCGGCAATGATGTATAGCGAACACCCGGACAAACCGGCTAAGAACAAGACCGCGGGCACCAACTGGAAGYTGAACTACGACGTGATCATCGAAGAGAGCGGCATCGAACCGGTAAGTTTTACGTTCAAGCTGAACAATACGACGAAGAAAGAAAGCGACGGTCGAAGCGGCGATAACGGTAAGCTAGACGCTAACCATAACGTAGTCATCAGCAGATCGCATGATAACGATAATAAACGTGATCAAAAAAACAACAGCACCGAAAAGCATGCAAAAACTGTAATTAATAAAAATCAGTGTAATAATGATRATTCGGAAGGTGGTGTAGTAGGTGTGCCCATGAAGAAGACGAAAGTAGTGAAAAAGAAAATAATCGTCAAGAAGAAAGTGGTCAAGAAGAAGGAAAAAGAGGAGGACGCCGAAATCCAGCAGGACAAGCAGGAACTGCAGAAGAAAAAAACCCCTTCACCGCCGAAAAAAGGCGGTTCRACGAACGCTGGCGCAGCGTCCGCGGTTATAACACCGTTTGTACGCGCGTCCTTTGGCAAGACGTTCATATCGCCGTCACAAGTGAGCAGCACGAAGAGTAAGTTCGAAAAGCCAAAGCCCAAAATCAACCTGGAAACGCCACCACCGCCACCAACGGCCCCGAAAACGCCGCCCGCCGCCGACAGCGGATCGTCGTCTGACGAATCGTCCGATGAAGATGACACGTCTTCGTCGTCGTCGTCGTCAACGTCGTTGTGCAGCGGAAGCAGTGGCAGCACGTTCTACGACTCGGACGATTACGGTGACAAAAGAGTTGCATGCAGTAATTCTTCGTTCGATTCTGGTTTGCCATCCTCGCCCGTGCCCGCACAAGATCCCATAGGTAGAAATACAATAACACTAACACTGCATAATATATTAATAATATTAGATATTATATTATGTACTTCTACTGCTAAGTACTACTACTACTATTACTACTATTAATAATACTATATACTCAGTAATCAGTGTTGTAAAGGACAATTTGAAAATGTATTTAAAATACATATCGAATATTTATTTGTTGATGTATTTCAATAATACCCCCCCCCTCCAACGAAAAAAATTCTGTTTGCTTATTCAAATATTATTATTTTTTATTTAGTCATTATTACACTATATAAATTATTAATTAATATAATTATTATTGGAAATATTTATCCGTTATCAGACAATATTTCTATGGAATAGCATTTTGATTTTTCAACATTATAAAATCGATAGTTGCATATTCAGCTGAAATCACAATTCTTAGTAAGCATTACACGAAATTTTTACCAAGAAATATAAATTTGAATAATCGACACAGATGTTATAAGTATATAAACTATATATTATTTAATTATTATACTCTATATCTGTGCCAATYAATGATAACAATAATCAATGAATTCATTAGAAATTAATTTTATTTGATACCATGCATAGATCAGTATTTTCAATACTTGATTATAAAAGTATTAAAATGCATTTACTCAAATWCTTTAAAACACTGTTATACTACCTAAACTACGCGTATTATAATCGACTGCAGCATGCATGTTTTTTTTTGTTTGGTTTTTTCCGCAAATACGCTTCCCTAAACCGCGCGTATCGTAACCTCATTTGTGTAGATAAAACGAGCTAGCCACCGGGTGAAAATCCGACTGCCCGCAAAGTATATATTATATAATAAATTAAATATATATATTTTTGACATAATAATATACCGCGTGTCCTCAAAAAAGGGTGCATTATATTTATTTTTCAGTAATTACTGCAGTATACTTATTTTTAAATTCTGTTTGCGGGACATGAGACTTAATTGTCGGATCATAAATTCCGATACCTACATAATTTACAAATTTTTACTTGCTTACTTTTTTCGTACTCAGCACATGCGCAACAGCTTAACTTTTTCTGTGCACCCTGTTTTCGTGACACACGATATTATGTTATGTCGAATCTAAAACAATCCCCCTAAGTTGTACCACAACAACAATATAATAAATATACCTTATACCTATTATATACTGTGTTATACGATATAATAATACGTATAGGACTGTGTTTAAATTTAATTTTTGATGTACCGGTTGGTCTGTAATATCAAAGAGGGTCGTCTGTGGGGGTTTGTGTGTGTATTGTGGATTAGATTGTGACGTCAACTGCCATAGGAAATGCGAGAAGCTGATGCCAAACCTCTGCGGCGTCAATCAAAAGTTGGTAGTCGAAGCACTAGCTACACTTAAACGAGGTAACCCCAACCAGATACCTATGTATAATCTATTATATTATATCTTATACTATAATATTCCCTGCAGTGAGGAGAAAACTAATACATTTTTTGGTGATTTTTTTTATCTCTCTTGTCCGCGTATTCTTAAATTACAGAAGCATGCGTACTTTTCATTGGCTGTATTTATTTAAAAGCAGTTKCAGTTTGCAAACACACACACACAAAAACATAACAGCGCAATTATATAGCGTTTATATAATATACAGAGTGATTCTTTTAACCCAAGGTACTCATTATATAATTAAAAACATTAATATTTTCCCTCATAATGTATTGTCCTCAGGGACGATGTCATCATATTACATTAAAAAATCRCTCTGTATACATTTAGACATTTAGGTATCTACATCCATTTTTTAATCATAATAACATTTTCAAAACTAGAAATAAATGTGAGAACAAATTTATGTAGTGTTAAATTACTAATGGGTTTTGTTTGTTTTTTTTTTAAAAATACATTGTAACTTTTGTTTTAAATTTTTTTATCCTAAGATTGTGATTTAGTACGATGCACGCCGTTGTATAATGTTTATTATGTGATTATTAGTATTACTATTAGTATTTTGAGTCACAGTCCAAACAAAAACAATCGTGTTTGATCCAAACACAAATGTGTGCGTTCTTTGACGTATTACCAAACTAGACTGCTGGACTTAAATAATCCGTGAAAATAACTTATTTATATATAAAATTGTGCATTAGTCTATGGCGGAAGGATAGTGTCATAAATTGTTCCGAAATCAGTGCCGACGTCGTTGCGGGCGTTGATATTTTTTTTTGGCATTTGTCCTCCTGAGTCTCGACGCTACTCTGTGTGTTATAAATATAAAAATTGTTTTAGATGTGCACCTTCGTGTTTCTCTCGAGTTTCCGTGTTCTTATAAAGTTGCAATTTTCACCTAAAAATAACATGCTTCTTTTAAAAATATTCAACTAATATTGTCTATATCTATCAACTATGTAGAATGTATAGGACGTAGGTAATTATACCAACTATAACTTATACTACCTTAGCCAATAATTYGTGTTTTAATTTTAACGACATTCACAAAATATATACTTGAAGTACATACTATAAGATAGTATTTAAAATAAAATTAGTACCTAATGCTTTAATACAGTGGTTATTATCTTAACGTGCTTAATTAAAAATATCATATTATGTTGATTCGTTTCTTTTAATTGCTTAACTTGCTAATATTATCATAAATGTATTGATAAGGATTTACAATATTTTATAACAAAAAGGATCCAAAATGGTATAAATAAATTTWAAAAAAAAGTATTAAACATTGTAAGTTGATATGAGCTCAAACTGTTTATCTTGGCGGACCACTTTTAAACTATAATTATCGTTCTAGTTAATTTTACTAAAATCTTTGTGACAATCGCATCATAGTTATGTATAAAAGTTTTACAGTTTATCCAGAATTTTTAGACGCGAACATTATATTTTATAACTTATCCGGTAATTACAATGTTCATTCTTCGCTACGAACCTATTAGGTACATAAATACGTAATATACATTCAGACTAAATTTCAAAAATATATATAATTTTTTATCTCGTTTCGTCTCTTGCAATTGGTAATTTTAACAACCTTAGCTATCTTTTTGAGTTTTTCTAGAACGGTTCTATGATGAAATAGGTAGAATATATTGTTCTAAAAATAAAAATAATAAAAATTGTTAAAAACGCCCATTACACAAACTTTTGTGGACGTCTCTAATAATTAWTTATCGTTATACTTACACGAGTACGAATTACTTCAAATATAGGAATGGTGTGGGGAGAGGGGGTGGAATTCAAACATGACGGAGGCTATAGGTWTACGTTATACGCAAATTCGTAATCAAATATAAAATCAATATAATATGCAACACTTTAACAATCGTTTTAACCATATGGCTTTTTTGATTCCAAATACTAAATAGTATTAGTATTTTGTATTTACTTCATAATAATAATAGTAATAATAATATATTATGAGAAACTCCGACTTATGTTGCACTGTTGTTTTTTGTTGCGTCACGTGTGGACTTAGACTCATCGTCGTCGTCGGACGCGGCCACCAATTCATATCAGATCGGCGGCGCTGGAAATGCGGACGGGGCCGAACGATCCCTTCGTTCCTACAGTTATCGGCACCACTCGAGGCCTAAACGTGTAGTGCCGCCGGCCACCAGCATACCGCGGTTCCGAAAGTATGCAGTTGACGACTTTAACTTCTTAAAAGTGCTCGGAAAAGGCAGCTTTGGAAAGGTACGGATGAGTGACGGGATAAATCAAAAAATGTGTGTCATCATGTTTCTTGTGCGTTGCTATTACCTGCTATATCGCCATCTACTTACCAATAATAATAATAATAATAATAATAATAATAATAATAATAATAATAATAATAATGACGATGATAATATGCGTTTTCAACGTGCGAACAACGTTTTATTAAAAATAGTAATAAAAATAGAGTGAGTCTGATAGTCTGCAGTTATCGATTCTGGTCTGGGACGTGAAAACGTGTGMAAAACGTAAAAGCTCTAGGACAGATGTTACAGAAAGATAACGTCTGCAAGATCGATATTATTGTAGTCACCGGAGCAATAATTTTAAGACGGAAGTGTGCAAAATCTTACTAAAACAATTCAAGGTTCTGTTGAAAACCTGTACAAACATTTTATCAAACCGAAAACAAATCTTTGTATTAAATATTAATTACACCTATAAGATAGGTATGTGAATTATAAATATTTAATATATAGTATACTATGTACTACTAATTAAATAATTCTAAAAATCAATAAAATAATTATACACAAAATGTTAATAAAGGATTTAAGGATGGTACTTGGTAGGTACATTATATTTCCTTACAATTAATGCATAAACATATTTTGATTTTTTTTTAAAGTTTACATTTTTAAATTGGGGATGAGGAGGGATTTAATAATGGATCWATAATAATCAAATAACTCTAATGCAATGTTAACTCTGATATGAGACTAGCTGTCCCGTACGGTTTACTATTTCTACATATTAATTACAGTGAAATACTACATCTAATACATTATTATATTATTTATATTGTTCAAGTACGGATAATATATTAATATGTAGGTAGTAGGTATTTGGTATAGTAATCTTATCTATTTCGATGAGATTGGAAAATTTGGAATCCGAAATCGATTTTAAGCTTGGAAAGTTGGAACATAACTCATATTCGACATATTCATATTATATAGGGTTGCACAGACTTGATTCCAAGGTCACGCATTAAAAATAGAAACCCACAGAAACTTTTTAATGCTATTAAGAACATGCATTTTTTTTAATTTTAATAATAATTATTGTAGTGAAAATTTATCAAAAACTCAATTTAAAAAATCTATGTGTATGTAATATGTATAGGTAAACAAACTCGTATACTATTATACTAATAATAGTCAACTCGTCATTTTTGAGAGATTATTTACATTTCCAGTGAACTACTCCAACACATTCGGTTATTCGTTTTAGATGAAAAAACAATTGTTTTGTTGTTTCGGTTCAATGGCTTTCAACTCTAATTTATCGTTGGATTTGTGCTTTTAACAATCAATTTTTTATGTTGGTAGTAATAATTTTAAGTATAGCTTCAAAAACTCAGCACTTTAGAATAAAGTTTGATACAATTATCCACACCATGCAGAATACCTCAAACGAAAAAGTATGGAAAACTAACACATTCTATTATGGGCCTTATTTATTTATAAAATTTATTAAGAGCTTTCAGCGAAAGCTTCGGGGATGCCTGGACGCCCTTGTTGAAATYCATATATTATGTACCATTCTATATAACTGTCTTTATTTTTGTTCTTTAATATGTGTGTATGTTTGAAGTAATCTATATTATATTTAGTGTATAATGTTTGATGAATTTGCGCTTGTAGTGGTACCTAATTATAATAGTAATGCCAAATAATTAATTTGATCTATACCTACACTGCAGGTACTGATATTGTCGTAAACACGTAATATCTGTCATTTAGGTATTACTGGCCGAACTCAAAGGTACTGATTACTATTATGCGGTAAAATGCCTGAAAAAAGACGTAGTACTTGAGGATGACGATGTCGAATGTACACTCATCGAACGCAAAGTCCTCGCACTAGGAACAAATCATCCTTACTTGTGTCATTTGTTTTGCACCTTTCAGACCGAGGTAGGTGCATTATGCTTTAAATATTATGATATAGCCAATTTACCTRTCACAATTGGTAGTTCACAAAGGTTTTTCCTTTTTTTTCGTTTTATATCTAATGTATGGACAAATATATTTTAACTTTAATTTTTAAATAAAAAAATAAATAAATAAACCTTAATTTTGGTTCATCGTTCTACCGTTTTATGCAATTTTTCCATATTTGAAATATTTACGTTTTTATAGTAAGCAGCCATTTTTATTAATTTAAAATTCAGTATCTAGTATCTACTTATATTATTTTTAATATTTTGTGAAAGAATTGAACACGATTAATACAAACAATTGTTATGTGTCAATAATGTACAATAATCAAATACATTTAAAAATTTTCATTTAAATGTATGTGTCATATTGCCTCATAATTTAATAATATAACTGTTATAACTAATAAATAATATTATATTAAGACGTCAGCGCACTAGATATTTGTTTTTCTCTAAGACCTGGCAATATGGCAACATTTTCAGTAACAAATATTGTGATTTTGGCTTTAATATCAAGAGTGAATTGAACTATTATCAGTCTTCAAGTTAAAAACACCATCTATCTAAATGTGCGTTGGTTTTTTACAATGTATAATGTATCAATSTGTATRCAAGTTATGAGTTTGTAAAATAATATCATTTAAAAGTGCACTGCTCATTTAGTCATCTAGGTACGTTAAGAAAATTTAAATATCGCATTACAGCCAACGCATGCTAACACAAATAATGATCTTAATTTTAAATTTAACAAATAATAAATATTTAAAAAAAAAAAAATGTATAATAAGTCAATTTACTCATTTTAATATTAAAGCAAGAATGATTTTTTTAAAAACAAATTGCTTACCTATGTGGCTATGTAGTGCATGAGAGAGAAAATAAATATCTACAGGTACCTTGGTGGTACGCAAGTGCACTGAAATAGTGTAATACATATATTGGTGTTATATCTAGTGTTGAGTCGTTAAGATTCACACCAGACATATGTATGATTAAAAGTGGCTTTTCACTCAGTTTTGTTTAATTTCTTAGAGGTATTGTTTAAACATTAAAATAAAATCATCWATCAAATTTTGTTAAAATATTTCAGTGGTTTGTGTTCAACGCAATGTGACAATGTAGGTATTATAACTTATTAGTTATAAGTTTATTACTTAATACTCATAACAATAAGTATTATTTAAAAATGTTATCTTAGAACAAATTATTTTTTCTACAAATCAACAATTAAATCTGGTTTAAATATATGATTATATTAAACATTACCGAACGTCAATCAAAGAAGTCAATTAAATAGGTAGGTTGCAGAAATGCAGTTTCTGGGGTTTATTTTTTGAACATTTGCCAATTCTTAACAAAACGAAGATAAATTGTTTTTTAATGTAGCATGACCACAACCAAGGAATAATTTAAAAAATGTCGCCTTAAAAATGGCGCTCGTCGTTTACACTGTAAAATAAACAATTATTACGAAAGAAACACATTTTATATTAATTATTATACATTATACGTGGGTACTAAAAATAAAAAATAATATTCTTATATTAATACCTATTCATTATTTGTCGCGTACTCTTAGTTATTAATTTAATTTTGAATTATAAGAATATTATATAGGTATTTACAAAAATTAAATTGTCCACACAGTCTCATTTGTTCTTTGTCATGGAGTATCTGAATGGCGGCGATTTGATGTTCCACATACAACAGTCTGGACGATTTGACGAAGGCCGATCTCGATTTTATGCATCTGAAATAGTGTCAGGTCTAAAGTTCCTGCACAAAAAAGGCATCGTGTACAGGTGAGCACCTAGTCGCCAAGACATTAACATTAATAATTAGTGTTAAAATGGCGGGGAGGTGGCTGGCTAAATCCAGTGGCCAAAGGAGTGTATGTTGAATACTGACAGTATAATAAATTTACGAAATGGAAAAGACCAACACATCACGTTTTCAGGCGAAATAATTGACAGACTTTTATGTGGTATCGCTTTAAATTTTTATAGGTACCCAATAGTTTTACCATAATAAAAAAATGTATTTAAATTGCTAGTTTCTCAATAGTTGCCTATATCAATCCCCTTAAAAAGTTGTTGCTGTTTTTTAATCATAATGATCGAATCGCAGGGATTTGAAGTTGGACAACATATTGTTAGATTTCAACGGTCACGTACGTATCGCTGATTTTGGAATGTGTAAACTTCAGATATACTTGGACAAAACGGCGGATACATTTTGTGGCACGCCCGATTACATGGCGCCAGAGGTGAGACAACATTGTTTGTACATATTGCGTGGAAGGTATAACTGAGTTCAATCGCATATCCTCGCTGTTGATTTACTGTATAGATAATCAAAGGCCAGAAATACAATCAAAGTGTAGACTGGTGGTCTTTTGGCATTCTGCTGTACGAGATGTTGGTTGGCAAATCGCCATTCAGTGGTTGTGACGAGGACGCCCTGTTTTGGTCTATATGCAACGAACAACCTCAGTATCCAAGATACTTGTCGGTCGATTCTAAATCTGTTCTGGTAGCTGTAAGTTATCTTGACTAGGTTTTCCATGTTTTCAAACTATTAATTCATTGCGTTAATGTTTGGACATATAGTTACTAGATAAAGACGCAACTAAACGATTAGGGTCTTTAGAAGCTAACCATTCGGCCGAGGATGTGATCAGACATCCATTTTTCAGTTCAATGGACTGGTGTAAATTGGAGAGACGAGAGTTAGAACCTCCATACATGCCTAGAGTTGTAAGTACCAAGGATAATTAATTTTGTCAGTCAAAATTGTTTTCTTTAAGTGTAATACAATTTTTTTTTCTATTCAAGTATCATCCTTTGGACACTCATTATTTTGACAAGCACTTCACAAAAGAGAAACCGAGACTGACACCTGTTGATAAAACTATACTTCAGTCGATGGATCAGTCTCAATTTGATGGATTTACCTATACCAATCCAAATGTCACAGATTCATGAGTCATTATGCTACTCATTATTTTGTATAAATATATAAATATAACCACATCTTATAATTTTTGTATTTGATAAATTCTTATTCTTATTTTTATTTATTTATTTTTTTGTGTATAACTAAGCTCAGTCAGTACAAATAAGATTGATAGAAAATGTTTAAAATGTGATACATAAACATAATAATATTGTCACCACTTTTTAATTTGTATTTATTTTTTATTTTTATAACTATTGAGAATCACTGGACGAAGAACTGCTACTATCTGTTGACATAACTTCAACATCTTCCGCAACATCTTTAGAATGATTTCTAGTGTCTATGACTCCACTACTAACTCCCAAGTGCATATCACCGGTTGAATGCCAAGCAAATTGATTTTGCTGAGAGGTTTGACGATCTAAAAATTAAATGTTTTTTTAATAATTTAAAACAAATAACTAAAATATTTAAATTAAAAAAGGTACGTTTAAATGTAATTAAAATTTTGTAGTCCTAAAAAAAATGAATAGCAAACTAACAGACTTTCCAAACATTAATTGAGTTTACTAGACTATTATACATATGTCATATACAGTATACACATATATATATATATATATATTAATTTAAGAATGTAAATATTATTTTTCAAATAAATAATTGTATATAGTATTTAAATTAAAAATATTGAATTTTTTATTTGAAAGGAAGTATTTTTTTTTAATCAAAATACTTTTCAATTTACAAATATGTTTATAGTTTGACGATTAACATAGACAAATTATAAAACATAGCATTAAGTTACAAAACTCTTTTAGGGTCGACATAAATAGTGTGTAATTTTACAAGACAGTAATATTGTGAATACACAAGTCAGTTGTATATATAAAAGTATATCACCATAAATCTAAAAACAATTATGAATTCATAATGTTCTGAATCAAATAGTATCAATATTAAGTTTAATATTAATACAAATACATTGCAAATAAATTACATTTAAAAATCTATTTAATCAGTACATAAGGCCATAAGTAAAAATAAAAAAACTAATGTTTGAGATGTTGATATTCCTCAATTCATAAAAGTTTCATATATATTCATATCACACACAACTATGAATATCGAAACAATATTGGTTATGGATAAAACTATGAATATATATTTAATTAATAATATGAGTTAATGATATAATTTTTTTTTTTTTTATGGTTAAGGCTTCGACAACTGAGGTCATTAGCCTGGGGAACTGTAGGGGAAGGAACTGTAAGGTTTTAACTCGTGGGTATTTGGCAGAATTTTGAATGGGCACCCGTGGGTTTCTGCCATGCCCGGTTGGGGGCCGGCAGCCTCTCTCCAGACATCGCGAAATGCCCAAAGAGCGATGTCGCCCGTGACCAAGATTCGAACCGGCGACTGCGTGCGTCGCAATCGATGCCTTAGTCCGCTCGGCCACTCCACCCCCAATGATATAATCACTTCAATCATTGAACTTGATTTGATGAATTTGATTTCTAGAAAACTCACTGTTTATAGTTTATGACCTTATTATTGTAYAAGTAGTGCTTGTTAGATATTCAGAAAAAAAATTGTTCTAAGATATCTAACTTGGATCAGAATGATGTTTTTTTTATTTAATTAAACTTTAAAATACATCTAATTTCTTGTCAGGTGGCACTGCTGGGAGCCTTCCTTTTCTGTAATTAATGTTATTTTTTTTTCTTTTTCTTTTTAAGTCACCACACTTATTATACACTGAATGTATAGATTGTAAATACACTTTTATCTTYAATAAAAAWATAAAATAATAAAATAAAAATACATCTAATCACATTATACTTCACTACAATTTGCAAAATAAGTTAATACCTACTCCAGTGGTTATTACTTACAATGATTTTAAATTGGTTACATTTTTTATGGATTCACAGTGATAGAATTGATAAACTAACATTGCTTATCGAAATATTAGCAATACTTATCAATAGTATATTTAATATATAATAATAGTTATCATTAAAAAGTGCAGACGAAAACTGCAAATAAAACAAAAAAATATAAAAAATATCAACTATGAAATGAAATTATAAACACTAAGGATATCTGTCATTTTAATTCAACAACAAACGTAAAAATAAAAAAACAAATTATAATGTAGAATCCTTCTATATATTATATTCAACTAGAGGATCAATTGAAGTATTTTTTTAAATGCACTAAATACATAATATAATTAGTAAAATTAACTATCCATAGAGCAAAAGTTGGTAGAAAGTCTATGTGGAAAATAAATCATTCAAAACCTAGCGTAGATAATAAATAGAAAGATAAGGTAACTGTTTTTAATTAATATAAAACATAATAACAAATTACAACTGTTTGTGTTGAGATTTTGTAATGCATGTTATATTTAGCTTGGATTTTTTATTTAATTGTTTTATATTTATTGTAATTTAATATATACAAAACTAATTAAATTTAAGCTACATTTTATATGAATTAGAGAATATTCTAATTACAATGGGTTTATTTTGAAAAAACATTGATAAGTATCATAAGTGCCTATTAAAGAACATTTTGCATCTCAAGCAAAATTATTCAAAAAAATAATTTTTAATTAACTTCTACTAATATACCTATTTGATTATTTGATCGCACCATATCAGCCAGACCTTGTGGCTGCATTATATGTCCATTAAGTGGTAGATCACTTAATCTTCCCAAATAACCCATTCGCATTTCAATATCTGAAATATAGGGAAAAAATTTGAGAAAAATAAACATAATATTACAAATTACAAGATATTGGTTATATTACCGGTAGGATAAGGCCTGCGTGCATCACCCGGTTGCCATGTAAGTGGTGCACACACTGCATTAGAAGCACTTATTCTGTGCGCATATTTTATGAGATCTTCTGAAGATACAGGATGTTTACTTGCTTTATTGATGGATTGTAATTTTTGTTTTGCTTGAAATAAAGCTGTTGCCTAAAAAGATAAATCAATGTTAATATTTTAGGTCAAGATAAAAGATAATTACAGTATAATTACTAGTATATTTTCTGCTTCTTTGAAATGTTTTTGCATTTGTGTAATATGTTGGTCTTGTGTTTCTATTTCTTCCTTAATAGCATTTACTTTTTTTTCTACTTCTGCTTGGTGTTCTGCAACTTTTAAAGTAGCCTTTATTTCATTATCTGTGGCTACAAGCTGCTCTGTAAGGAGTAACTGATGTTGAACATTAATTTTTTGTTGTCGCCCAGCACTCAAGTTTTCAATCAGCTCTCTATATAATTTTAAATAAAAGGTTATTATAAATTTCATTTTTGAATAAATATTTCTACAATTTTAGAGGATATTTACCAAAGGATAAGTACCCAAGCAATATAATAAATTAAACATTATTCACACCAATCACTGTTATAAACTTCTCTGAGTAGTTGATATTTTGCATATAACTTACAGAATATGRTTAACATTTAACTATATTAAACATTGTCATATAACATGGTATATTTTTTTTATCTGTGTAAACTAGTGTTAGTAGTTTTACACAAAATACAACATACAATCTAGCAAATAATTGTCTAGGTTTATTTGAATATCTCGGAACCAACTAATCATGCTGGATATTTATTTCTAATTCAAGAATCATTTCAGTAATAATTTATATAAAAGAAAATGTTGATATTAACAGTTGTAATTTGAATTTACATAGATTAGGTGAGTACAAAAAATCTGTATGTAATTCATTTCATTTGGAATACAAATAATCATACAAATACAGAATACAAATAAATTACTGAAAAGAGTACATTTAATATTACCTGCTTAAAAGTTCGAAGTCATCAAGCAAACCAAGTAGTTTATCCCGGGTGCTTGTGTTGGCTGACATCTTTCAATAATACTATAGGTGCTTAATTGAACATAAAAGGGTTCCAATTAAAATAGCACCTTTCCAGTTAGCAGTTTTTATCATCGAAACTGTTAAYATAGCATTCGATTTTTAATACGGTTTAATATTTATGGATACAAAGAAGAATTATAATTTTTTTTAWTATGTAATTATATACTAAATCAAATGCTTATACCTATTAAATTATATTAATAAATAATAACAGTATTTATAAAAATAATAATATTTATTATTTTTATCATCATAATTGAGAGTCCTTATGTTATTGCTTTTATCATTTATTCCATGGTTAGGTTAGGTTGGATACCATGATTGCAGATTGAAAGCTGTGGTGTTGCCATGACTATTAGTGCAATAATTATGGTCGAAAAGAGTGAATTTAATGTATTTCTGAGTTCAGAGGTGATCAAATTTGCTACATCCTACATTTTTATAAACAGATGTAAGATACAGAATAGATTAAATTTAACTAATTTAAGACTTAAGTTCAAGACTGAAGTAAATTCTTGCATTGATTATTCGGACATGCATAGTCTGTGATACTATAATCGTTTTGTGRTGATACATAATATTATTATTGATTATACCAGGTATATACCAGATGTTGTATGTGGTTGTATAGAATTCTGGAATATTCGATGGTAGTGTGTGTGGTGTGTGCATCGTTGTTTTGTTATTATTTTTGTGAATTCCATCTACTCACTACTGTAGTAAGGTGTTAACACTGTCAACAGTAAAATAAAATAAAAAGGAGTAGTTTTGTATTTGTATGTTATTCTGTGGTTGTATCTATTCATTTTCATTCTATTCTGTGGTTGTATTGCCGCATAGGACGATTGAGTGCTTAATATTATAATATTATATAGAAGAATGAACCAATAACCGTTGATATAAGCTACTTTTGTTTTAAACTTTTACAATTTACAGTTGTGGATTGTCACTTAGTCAGTATTCACTGTAGACATTCAGCTTCAGTAATCAGTAATCAGTAATAGTCACTATTCAGTAGTTGGCCACCGTCTGTAATTTCGTTTCACTGCCGTGGACCACGAATTTCAAACATTAAAATTAAAGTACTGYKCACGTTAGAAAATTTGTCACCGTCCATAATTTGTGCCATCGTTCTCGAACGTTTCGTTTATAAATTTTCAGTGACCAAAAACCGTCCAAGTAAGTTGCTACCATTTAAAAGCCTCATACATTTTAGAACGTACACTTGGTTGACTTCGTTTGTTAAGTTTCAAAGTCAGTACTTTGTGTAATTTTTCTCTGTCCAGTCTGTCCACATCTTAACTCTATGTTATGTAAAGATTATACACCAGGATCAAAATTAAAGGAGAGTCTTCAGTTCAGATTTGAATTGTTAACCAATTGAAGATTGACCCACCCCTTACACCACCCAAGTGGCCTATATCATAAAATAATGTTATGTGATTTTATCCCTCATAATATTGTTATACCGACCTAAAAAATGTAATATTTTTCTTCCATAAACATCCACCTGCTCATGTTTAAGGTGTTGTCTGAGCAACACTTGCACCCTATGTTACATGCCAATGCCCCACTCAGTAACACATTTGTTATGTTTAGAATGAGTTTTAATTTTATAAAATAACTCATTGTTTCTACGTTATTATGTCATTGGTTGCATCTTCAAAGACTAAAAATCCAAAAATTAACTTGGAGCAGTTAGGGTTTTTATTGTAAATAAAACTACAGTACTTATTTTTTTTAATTCCTAAATCAACCGGTTACAGTTTGATTTAAATCTAATTGTAAAGTAGCTAATGTAATTATTTAAAAAAAAGGTAAACTATAAAATATGTAACCAGATTGTTGCTTATCAGCGTAAGACGATTGTGGTAATGGTGTTTTATTACAAAAATAATTTTGTGGTTCAAGCAAATTTGCTTTATTAGTCTGGCCTTATTAATAACTAATATAATTTTTAAATCCTTCATCCTTCTTCATATCTATTTGGTATATTAATAGAATTTCTAATAAGCATCAGTGGAGGTAATAAAAATACCTTATTTTTTCTGTGTAATTTACTGGTATTGCAACTGAAGTGGGAACAACAACATATTAATCCGTAATATAATTTTAGTTTATKCTTCCACCAACTTATTACTAACCTACTCAATCATAAATTATTAAAGGTATATAATATAATATAACTAAACTGATCTGTTAATAAGATATATGAATTAAATCCTAAATAAGTATAAAAATTTTAATTATATTGATTTGTTATGAGGAAATTAAACCTTTGTTATTAGATAGATTTGATCTGTAAATAAAAATAAAAATAATCATTTATTGTTTTCATTACTTAGGTAATTAGGTTATAATATTATACTAGGTAATAGTGTGGGGTTTTAGTTTAGTGCATTTATTTTTGAGTTTAAATTTTATAAATTATTACTATCTATTTATTTACAGAATGAAAACAGACAAAATTAAAATTGAATCTTCCGATGAATTAAAAAATCCTTATGTTCGTCTGGAGCGTTGCAGTTTAGAAGAAATTAATGGTTACAAGTCAGTATGATTTTAATAGTACTTTTAATTTCATTATTTGTAGTTACTAACTTTGTCTTTTACAAACATTCAATAAGTATAATAGGTATATGTTAATATTTTAAAATAAAATATTTACGATCATCTTGTCGTATGCACTCCACCTCTCAATATCAATGATTGTATTTTATGCACACACTTTAAGAGGACGTGATATTCGCATGTGTTGTCTTTGTCTAACAAGTGTGTTACATACCAAATTTTATGCTCAGCAGATCACATTTAGCTCCGTTAGTTTAATTTTTARAGTGAATTGACCACTCATCAAAATTAAAGGTAATATTATCTTCTAGGGATTTTCATAGGCTTTTTATTATATTTTAATTTTAAAGTAAGTCATGAGTATTTAAAGATACACAAACAATTTACAATTTTAAAACTCTCATAATTTGCTTAAAAATTAAAATACAGTAAAAAGCCTCTAAACATGATCTGCTAAGCATAAAATTTGCTAAGTTATGCACTTGTTAGACGGAGACAACACATGCGGGTTCCACGTCCACTTAAGAATAGAAAGTTTGTGGAGCTCTGATACTAAAAATTGTAAAAATATATGTACTTCTTCTGATATGCATTTAAAGTATAATAAATAGGTATAACATATATATTATTGAAAAATTGTAAAAAGGCATGCATTCAACGTATTTTTAAGGTATATGGCACTAATATTTTAATGCTTTTAATAAATAATAGTTTTATCAAAACAATGCATTAATTAAAATTTAATTATTAAATGATAAACATTTTAATTCTCAGCAGATATTATTGCATTGCTCAATTAATGATTTAAATAAGTTAGCGATTAAGATAGTAATCAAACCTTATCTATTTTTATTAATTAGTTGAATTACCTATAATAACTTATTTGTATGATTGAAACTAATTAATATTTTTACTATAATAAATGTGATTTTCAATTTGTAGAGTCTTGAAAATCATAAATAAACTCTATAAATGTAAAACATCCTAAAATATACCCTGGAAGTGCAAAAATATACTAAATTTATATTCAGCATTCATAGGTTATGAAGCAAATTTCGATGTAAACTAGCTATTTTTTTTACCAACCAACAAAAATATGCAAATGCAATAATGCATACATGTGTTGGCCTTATTTTATAATATAAAATAAAATAATATTTTAATAACAATAAATAACTCAAAAGTAGCTAATATTACTTATGTACAAAAATATTGTATTAATTGATACATATTTTTGTTAGTTACATAACTATAATTTAGTAAATCATTTTACTTATGTAAGTAATATTAATATAAGGTATGGATTCAATAATTATTATTGTTAAAATTTTTTTTTAGCTTTTGTTAATCCTCATGAAATACCTGTTTCATGTATTATATTTTATTACACTGGTAGTATTTTCAACTATTTACTAATTTTTATGTGTATATTTTCATTCATGTAGACTGAAACCAGAAAGAAATGCTTACTATTTGATTGAATCTGGATCAGAAGAATCAAACAAAGGAGAAAGTGATGATAATATGGTATCACTTAACTTAGTGACATTAATAGGTGATGGGGAAAAATTGTACCGTTCCTATGTCTTGCTTGAACGATTATCTCCTCACGATATTCAACATTTATTGTAAGAAAATATATTTATAACTTGTAATAATTAGAACTAAAATGATTAAACATTTTTATACAGTTGACTATGTAACATTAGTTTGCTTGTAGTACTGAATAGCTTCATTATTTTCTATTTTTCTAATACTCTAGAATTTAGATAAATATATCTTCATTTTTATTGAATGTAAACTCAATTTATTTGACTTAATACTTAACCTAAATAAATATAGCTAGGTATTAGTGAGAATTAATTTAATTTATATCATTATAATATAAAATATTGTTATAATATATATATTTACAATGTAACCAAAAAGTGGAAATACTTTGATATATCATAGTACTATTGTATTATTATCAAAGTGTTTCTATTAGTTAATAATATCTTTCAAGTGCTCTTATTATTATTTGTATACATTGCTATTCATTAATTTATTTTTAATATTTGTTTTTTACAACTGAAATTAATTTTTATAAAACTTATATTGATCAGTAAACTGTTAAAATGCAGGTATACCTACTAAAAATTGATAAACACCGTTAAGAATAAAATAATTATATTTTAAAATATAATTGTTTTTTTAATAAGTAAAAATGCAGAGAAAAAAAGTACAAACCACTTTTAAAAAAAAATCAGTTTTATAACTTATTAAATATAAGCAGAAAACATATTTTAATTAATGTTTTGTAATAATCAGGTCTGGTTATTTACAATATGTATTTATGTATTTTGTTTTGTCAGCAGACATACTTAAATAATTTAAGTTAGTTCAATTGTAAACCATTGCTCATTAATACAATATTATATAAAACAAATAATGTGCCATAATCCAATTTAAAGTGTAAAAATCAGAATATTTTTTTAATTATGAGCCAGTAAATAAGATTTATGAATAGGTTTCATAGTTATCTAAAGAAATTTGTAAAAATGTCTAGCAAAGCTGGGCAATTTGACCAGTATTTAATATAGTATATTGTTCTTAATAGTTTTATTTTGTATGAAATAATTTACAAGATAAATAAATATGATTACTAACAAATAATATTTTTTTTCTAGGAATAAAAAGAATTAACTATACATATTCTTTCAATGGGACTTGAAAATGATAATAAATTTGTAAGTGCAATATATTGTTTAAGAATGTAGTTATAGGAATGTTATTAAAATTACTAAATCATTATTATAAATTTTCTCAATTATTATTATTATTAAGAATAGTTTCAAAGGTCTATCTAAAAATAATGGAAAAGATAAACCTATTTAGCCTTAAATTATACTCAAATGTTTATAGATAATAATCATGTTTGTTTATTGAGGTATATTGTTAGATTCCAAGTGGAGTGAGGGAGATATAGRTTTTACAGCGGGATATTTAATTATTATTTTTAAATATAATTTTGGTAGTATAAAAACATAAAAAGTTGTATTCAACATTCATTTTGATGAGAAAATCATTACTCAGAATCGTTCTTCAAATACAATTATATATTATCATGTTTGGTTACCTGTAATTATACTTAATATATTTTAATTTTTGATTTCAGTTGTATGGTATGGATTTAAGTTCTGAACGAAATTCAATTGAAGAACAAATATATTCCCCTGTTAAACATTACTTACATCGATGTATCAGTTAATTCTCCATCTTAATTTAAAGGATCAAATGGAATTTTTTGTGTTGATAAAATTAATCTCTCATGACATTTAATATTTTTCTGTAATGTGAGTTTTTTCTCACTTTGTATTTTGATTTTAATATGTTGCTAAATTTTTTCATCAAGGATTAATTCTGTCATTCTTTTTTTTGTGAATGTATCATATAACTGCCGGATTTTATTCCGGTTCAAATTAATAATTATCAATTATGTGTATGTGTATTTTAACATCAATGGACAAAGATTTGAAGCCTAGGTTGATGATATTCTAATTTATATTGAACCAATAAAATTAGTATTAAACTAGTTTAAAATGTTAAATTTGTTTATGTATTTGATTAATTATTATTGAAATTGATGTTTGATTTTTTTTTTTTTGATAATATTTACAAAGATTTCTTATAAGTATATTCAAACACTAAAAAATAAGATTTTGTTGGTAATGTTTCTCTAATAATATACTGCTAATATAAATTTTTTCTTGTACACAGTAAATTATTATATTAAATTATTAATTAATTATTATTCTAATATTTTAAATCAAATGACTTAAGAGTTGGCATTTATATAAAATAGTATTGATAGAAGTCATAATCATCTTAAGAATTGAAATTCATTAACAATGCATAATATATATTAAAAGGACTAACGACCAGTTTCATAATTTTCAAAATAGATTATCAGTTTGAGAAAATAATCTAAGTTCAAAATATCAGTTATTTGTTTATGGCGATACTTGATAATATTCCATAAATATAAAAAATTAAATTATTAGATAACTAAAATAATGATCCGAGTATTAAATTTATTTTTATTGTTTCATCATTTATTACCTGGTTATTAGCTCATATCAAATCCACATTATGTTAAATTATACATTTAAATTCTAATAAAATGACTATCTTTAAATGAATTGCTGTTACTTGAAGATCAAGTTAAGGTGACCTTTGCTGTAGAAGAATTGGTAATCAATAATTATCATTTTATTATCAATCATAACTTTAATTTCATTATAGATTCATTCTATATTAATTATGTTTGTGTAGATCTAAGATAACAAACTAAAACTAAATAATTGGTAATATTAATTGATTGCTGGTGCGGGTAACTCCCAGTTATAAAATTAATAATTTGTCACTATTTAATATACTCAACATTACATTTTAGAATTAAAAAATTACAATGTGCATACTGCATAAGTAGATAATCGATATATCACATTAAATTTATTATTAAATTGATTTATTGTATTACTACTATTATCAAGATTTTTATTTTATTATTGCTTTGGAAAACCATAGAATTACACTGATAACATTTTTTAAAGCAATAGTTTTGCTTGAGTATTAGATTAATGTCACTGATTAGATTAGGTCTTAGATAGAAATTGTTGTGTACCTATTAGAATTTTTATTGTGTTTGTAGTTACTAGAAATTTTGTAATTACAACATGATATTATATTGAATAACTTACTTTAATTTTCAATATTACATGTGAAATTTGTATTTTCAAACCATTATTTTGMTTTTTATTTTCCATTTTTATGTTAGGTTAATAAACAATACTGTATAACCTTCAGTGCTCGACTTGACAAAATTAAAGTAGGGAGAGTCTGTTAACTTTTAAAAAAAGAGCGTCCCCACCACTTGTCAAATGTTACAAAGCCGTGGGGGCTATGCCACACCCCCTTATACACCTCTTTGAATCRTATAGGAAATATTTATGAATAATTAAATTTAAAAAAAAAAAATTATGTAAATATTATATTGTATATTATATTTTTAACTTATAAAATCAAATATAACAAACTCAAGAACAATTGAAACAAAACAAAAAAAAAAACTATTTATTTATATATGTTAACACTTAACACGTACATTTTGATAAAAATTAAAAATTCAGAATGATGGTAATGATGGCATGATTTAGCGTCCCATGCGTTACCCTTAAAAATAAAAGTAGGGGTACGCTGAAATTTCTGAATAATTAGTTAGGGTACTCCGTTCCCCTGCGCCCCCCCCAAGTCGAGCACTGATAACCTTTCTAACTATTTTCTAAATAATAAATAAATATCAATGTAATAATTGAAAGAAGTATTTATTTAGTTAATTAATTAATTTTAATGTTATAAAAATTAAAATAATACATTTTAATCTTACGTTGTCTATTGTTTTTTTTTAGTAAATCTGAATGTCACTCTTTTGGCATTATTGCATTAATAGTTTTCACCCAAACAATCATAGATAATCAGTTTTATCTTTTATGTGAGTTGTGTAAAAGAATATTTTGATTAGGATTGTTATAAACATAAGTTTTATTTTTATGTAGGTACATAATATAATCATCTTATAATACATAACATAATATTGGATCGAAGTATAGAAAAATCTTAGATTTTCAACTTTTTTTGTTATCTAAAATATTTAATTAAATCTTTCACAAAAATATGAATAATTAGAGAGCGTTATACATGTATCTGTTGCCTCCGTCTTACAAGTGCGTAACATAGCAAATTTACGGTTAGCGGATCACGTTTGATTCCGTTAGTTTAAAAATTAGAGTAAATTGACCTATAATAAAACTTTATGGTAAGAAMATTATCTGTGTTTGTATGTGGGTTTTCACGATAACTTAATTTTTAAATTTTAAGTGAGTTATGAGCATTTTTAATTTACGCTTTTTATATGCGCGTAACTTGGTACAAAATTGAAGTATCGTAAAAAATCTCACACACAAACACAGATAATGTTATCAACAATTCAACAYCAAGTTTCACAATTGGTCGATTCACTCTGATTTTTAAACTAACGGAGCTAAACGTGATCTGCTGAGCGTAAATTTGGAATTTTATGCACTAGCTAGTAAGACGGAAACAACAAACGGTTGTGCAGCGTCCTAATAAGAACAGTCGAGGAAGTAAATATATTGTAAAAAAAGCAAATAGGTAAGGATGACAAATTAAACAGAGTGTAGACGCCGTGGAGGTACTTAGATTAAAAAAAAAAAACACGAGTATTAAAATTGAATATCAGTGTGTCTGTAGTCCTGTAGGTTTCTACACCATTTTCGCTTGTGTCGTTCGGGTGGATTTCCAGGGATATCCGAGGAAGAGATATTATCGTGCATGGTGCATGAGTGGGTTTCTGTGGTTTTTAAAAGGCCAAGGCGATTATGGATCTTTTGTAGTGTATTTTAGCCACGTCTGCAACAAAGTGTATGGAGAGATCGTGATGGATTGTGTGATTGGAAACAATGGAAAAGTAATAATGTGGCGCTTTGGTGATTTTTCTTTGAGTTTTGGATTGATAGGTTTGTATTCTATTGATGTTAGTAGGTTTTGCTGAACTCCAGAGCTGTATACTATAGACCCATATCATAGGCACAAATAATGTTTGAAATCTGGGGGGGGGGCTGAAGCTGTAGCTCAGATCAGGATACTGAATAGGTAGGTACTCTTATGATGCTTTTAAATTAAATAATGTGTATAATGTAGTAAAATAATTTTTTTTTTGGGGGGGGGCTATAGAAATTCTTAGGGGGCTAATCCCCCTAAGTCCCCCCTATTTGCGTCTCTGAACCATATTGATTTAAGTAGCATTTTGTRTATTAGGAGCTCGTTGTTCAGATGAATATGTTTAGAGGTCAGTAGGTGTCGCAGCTGGCGGCTACGATCATTGAGCGTTATAAACGTTTGGAGTGTATATGAGGAGAATATATTGACGTTTTGAGAGTAGAGTAGAGGTTGATTATTGAGGAAAAGTTGTAGACGGTTTCTGGGACGTAGGTAGTGTGAAGGTAGAGCGGAGCGATTTCGTTTGGTATAATTTCAGGTGATCAGGTCCCATTCTGTGTACTATGAGGTTAGTAAGCCAAGATGGATTTGTATGCTATGTCAGAGTGGCATGCAAGTAGTGCTTTGTCGTCCGCAAAGTCGGCTACTATTGTGTTTTGACCTAACCTTGTTGGTTGGTCGGCGGTGTAGATGTTAAAAAGGAGTGGTGCAATTATTACTGCATTTGCGGGACCTCAGCTTCTATTTTAGAAATATTTGAAAAGGGGATTTTTAACATTAACATTTTTCTGGTCAAAAAGTCAATCTTGTTGGTATTTTTTTTAAATAATTGGGATAAAAATTAATTTTATTGTTTAATTGTGTTGTAATCAAAAACTAATTACTAGATATCGATAAGCAGTGGCGTAGCCAAGAATTGTGTATGGGGGCTAAGTCTCACAAAATAATAGAAAAAATACAAATACAATATTTTTTTTATTTACTCAATTTAACTATTTACAATTATGTGTATAGGTATACATTTTAAAATTTATTTTCTTATTGTTGTATTAAATTATTGTTAGTGCAGAAAATTAATATTTAATCCTGAAAAAATTCTAAGGTTGACACAGTCAATGGGGAGGGCTATAGCCCTCTCAGCCCTCCCCTGGCTATGCCACTATCAATAGGTACTTGAAATTTTCATCAAATGTTTTTAGAATATTTTTCTATTCATGCCATAAATTTCAAAATATTTAATTATATTTGAACATTAAGTCATGTGAAATTATTTTTTTATATAATAATATTATTTCGGTCAAAAATATTAATGAAATATCAGCTCAATTTTTTATAAGCATTTGAAGTTCAAACACTAATCATCAAAATCACATACATTTGTAGCAGTTAAATAGTGTATTAAATGTTCAATATTTATAAGCCTTGTCAACTTAATACAAGGTTCCTTAGTTTCAGTTGATGATGGAATCAAAAAAATCTAAAAAAAAATACATACCTAATTAATTTTTTTTATTGACATTTTAAGTCTAACCAGGACGAATTATGTCTCAACATAATCAAAACGTCATGTCTCTTCTTGGAGAAGGGGGGTAATATAATGTATATAGTGATAAATATATATATATATAGATAAATAGATCACATGATCTCTCTACTGTCCTCTTGTGATACGCATTGACAAAGACCTTAAGGTCGTTTCAATGAACAAATACAGAGAAAAAAAATCATATGCGAAATATGTGGCTAAGCCCCCCCCCTCCCCAAAAAATAGAATAAAAATCTAGGACATACAATTTTAAAATGCTATATTATAAATGTCTGCTTATCTTTTAATATATTTAGCCCCCCTCCCCCCTCAAGTCTAAAGTTGAAATTACGCCTACGCCACCCATTCAAATTGGTTAATGTCTGTTGTACAAATATAGGTACCACTTATTATTACTTTTGATCATAAGCATAGATACTTATTGTACCTATAACCATCATCGAAATAATTAGATAAAAATGATAGGTACCATCCTTGCAAGTTGCAATTTACGCAACTTATTGGAGCGCACCACTTGGGCTAAACCGATTTTTGCACGATATTGTACCATACCTATATATGTTTATTTATTTTTTCGTTTCGGAAAATTCGTTTGAAACGTGGCCAAAATAACGGAGAAAAAAATAGTGTTCATCTGTAAGTCACTGCGCCGGCGGGTATCGACGATACCGATCATCTAAAATCGCAAGACTCGAGATAAAAAAAAAAAAACCCGAGTGACCCACAGCCGACTACTGCTTGCAAAAGTATTACGGACAAATCTCGGCAATTTATCTCGGTTTAGGCGAGAAGAGCGTTAACGACGGTGCGATTTATATATTGTATACAGTGGTTTTATGGTCAATCGCCGTCGAGACCGCAGTGACAAATGGGTGGGACGACACTAAAAATCGATTTGAATGATAAATTCAACAAGAAACGGTGGTATATATATATAGGGGTAGACACTTACACAAAAAGCGAACAACCATGATTAGCCGTGCAAAGGCAGACAACACTGAGTATTACTTGAAGTGTAGGTACAGTTTATTATATAATATATATAGACACACGTTTAAATGTTTACAAACTATAAGGTATTACCAGGTACTTCTAGTAATACTCAGAAAAAACCTCCTTATAACGGACCCCACGTATCTTGCAACATTCCAACCCGATAACACTATGAGGATGTAAAAATAAAAATTCTGTTCTTTTAAAAACAACTTGGAAAAACAAAAAATATAATTCGACAGAATATATTTTATTATATTGTTATAATTCAAAAATAAATAATTTTAGAGACTAGAAATGTTCACAAAATATTCATATATATTAGTATCTACTTGATATAACATCATTTTCAAAACAATTTGACTCTTTTTGTAAAATTGATAGAAATTCGTAATTCTTTCTTCTGGACATCAGACATATTTTTGTTTTTAGGTAAAAAAAAAAATTGAGGTTTCTTATAAGATGTTCTTAGCACATTGAAAATAAAAAAAGATTATTTTTACAGGCGTCAATGTACAAATGTTAACGAAATTGATTACAATGGTAATACATTTTCAAATTATTTTGTTGTTAAAAACTCTTTGATATAAAATTCTGTAATAAGTTAATTTATTGGAAATCAAAAAAAAAAAAAAAAAAACAGACAATAAAAACTTATCACAATAAATAAATATAAATTCCAATCTTAAAATGTGTCTAAATATTTAAAAAAAAAAAAATGGTGTAACATCACAACAATTGTTGAAGTTAACATTTTTACAACATTGGATATTCAATCGTTTAGTTGTATAGGTATAATAATAATTTAACCTCAACTGATTTTTATCATTTAGTTATTATTAAAAAATTACAATTGGGCAAATTGTCTATATTAAAATATTTTTTTTAAATATTTAGACACATTTTAAGCTATTTGCTTCAAATTTCATGACATTMATTTTATGTTTTCATAAAACTTCATTTTCATTATAAATATTAAAATATCTATAACATTGTTGGCCTTCTTTAATATTGTAGTCTAACTACAGTATATGTATATTATTTGACTGATTTTAGAAGTAGATATTTTTTTATTTTTTTTTACTAAACAAAATATGCCCTTGGCGACATAGGCCTAGAAGTAGATATTGTAGTGTAGGTAATTGGTAGAAAGTAGTATCCAGTAATTTTAATAATATATTAGATTCATTGTACAGTAAAAAATTTTATAATTGACGTACATTTCGAGCCCCCCCCCCCTCAACCAGTATGAACATTTCTCCAGCTCCCCTTATATATTTTTGAATTTACGGTTAAACCAGAATCTCACAAATTCTGAAATTAGTCTCACAAATTCACACTAATGGCACACTAAAGTTTAACAAAAAAAAAAATTCAAAAAATCATACTTGGGGGGCTGACGAAATGTACGTTTATAATTGTATTAAAGTTTTAAATCCTACAAGAATTATACCAGGGGATTCTTTTATCATTGAACACTCATTATTTCAAAAATTATTAATGTTTTAGAAAATATTATTTTACATAGTTTCAAGTTGTTCAAAAACCAACGTTTTATAAAAAAAAATTATTTWAAAATATTTTTTATCCTTATAATTTTTTAATTGTTTTACTTTTTTGAATGACAACATA